TAGCATTTGATAGACATTCATGTTCAGTTTGGATCTTTTGGATTTTTTGTTTCTTGTGTTTATGGTGATCCGGTGTTTATATCAAGACCTTTAGTTTGGGAGAGATTAATGCGTATAGGCATTAATAGAAAAGACAGCTGGTGTATGATAGGAGATTTTAATGAAATCTTGCACAATGGAGAAAAACTAGGTGGTCCAAAGAGGAGTGAAGCTACATTTAAAGACTTTGCTGATATGATCAGAACATGTGGAATGGATGAATTACCATCTTCTGGTAATAGTTTTTCTTGGGGAGGAATGAGAAGTCAGTTGTGGATTCAGAGTAAGTTAGATCGATGCTTTGGTAACAAAAACTGGTTTCGTCAATTTCCAGCATCTAATCAGATCTTCCTTGACAAAAGATGATCTGATCATCGCCCAGTTCTTGTCAAGTTTTCAACTTCCAATCAATCTTACAAGGGTAACTTTCGATTTGATAAAAGATTTCTCAACAAGCCTCTGGTAAAGGAAGCCATTCTTACAGCCTGGTCAAATGTTTATCCACTACAATCCTCTTCTGTTTCTGATAAACTTAGAGGTTGTCGTAAAGCTCTCAGCAAATGGAAGAGAGCTAATTGCCTTAATTCCCTGGATAAAATCAATCAGCTCAAGATGGCTTTGGAGAGTGAACAATCTTCTAATTATCCTTCAATGATACATATTATGGGTTTAAAGAATCAGTTGATTGTGGCATATAGAGAAGAGGAGTCGTTTTGGAGCCAAAGAAGTCGTGAAAAGTGGATGCTAGAAGGAGATTCTAGCACTAAGTTTTTTTACGCATCTGTTCAAGCAAACAGATCTAGGAAAAGAATTGAGGCTCTTCAAGATCACAATGGGAATACTCAAACTTCTGAAGCTTCCAAAGGCGAAATTGCTGCAGCTTATTTCACAGATCTATTCAAGACTTCTCATCCAGGGAACTTTGATTGGCTTTTTCATGATTTTCAAGCTAAAGTCACTCAGGATATGAATGAATCTTTGATACGTCCTGTGTCTTCAGAAGAAATTAAAATGGCTGTCTTTGCGATCAATCCTTCAAGTGCTCCAGGTTCTGATGAAATGACATGTCTCTTCTTTCAAAAATATTGGGAGATAATTGGTCATCAAGTCACCATGGAAGTTAAGGAATTTTTCACCTCTGGTTCCTTTCCAACAGAATGGAACTATACTCATCTATGTCTTATTCCCAAAATTCCCAATCCTACTCAAATGTTTGACCTTAGACCGATTAGTCTATGCTCTGTTTTGTACAAGATTATCTCCAAGATTATGGCCTCCAGATTGCAGCCACTGTTACCCTTGCTTATCTCGCCTACTTAATCTGCCTTTGTCTCAGAACGTCTTATTTCTGATAATATTTCAATTGCTCATGAAATGATTCATGCTCTCAGAACGCATCCGGTTATATCTCAGGAATATATGGCCATTAAGACTGATATGTCTAAAGCTTTTGACAGGCTAGAATGGAGTTACCTTCAAGGTTTACTAGCTGCTTTAGGCTTTCATCAAAAATGGATTGGTTGGGTAATGTTTTGTGTTTCTTCTGTCACTTACTCCATAGTGATTAATGATCAACCATTTGGTATGATAGTACCACAAAGAGGACTGCGGCAAGGAGATCCTATTTCTCCATTTCTCTTTGTCTTATGTACTGAAGGATTATCTCATATGTTGAATCGGGCTGAAAGATCAGGTGCTATTCAAGGAATTCAATTTTCTCCATCAGGTCCAGCAATTCACCACCTCCTTTTTGCTGACGATAGCCTCTTTAGTTGTAAAGCCTCTGAGGATCAAGCAACTTCTATTCAACATATCTTGGATTCTTATGGAGATATGACAGGCCAGAGGGTTAATATAAACAAATCTTCAATCACTTTTGGTTCCAAAGTTAACCTTCAGGTGCAGAATTCAATCAAATACTTGACATGCATTCACAAAGAAGGAGGAACAGGTACATATCTTGGTCTCCCTGAATGTTTTAGTGGATCAAAAGTACAACTTCTGGACTACATCTATGATAGATTAAAGTCTAAGTTATCTGGCTGGTTTGAACGCACCTTGTCGCTTGGAGGTAAAGAAGTTCTTCTTAAAGCAATTGCAATGGCTCTTCCAGTATATGCCATGACTTGTTTTAAATTACCAAAAACAACTTGCGAAAAACTTACTGCTGCCATGTCCAATTTCTGGTGGAATTCTCTGGAACATAAAAAGAAAACTCATTGGTTAAGCTGGGGTAAACTGTGCTTATCTAAGGATCAAGGTGGATTAGGTTTCAGGGATTTACAGTGCTTTAATCAAGCCTTGTTAGCAAAACAAGTTTGGAGAATTTTGCAACATCCTTCAAGTCTTTTTGCTAGAGTTATGAAAAGCAGATATTTCGAAGATAATGAAATTCTCTACGCAACTTTGGGTTCCAGGCCTTCATTTATTTGGAGGAGTATTTTACATGGACGTCAATTGCTACTACAAGGTCTCCGCAAGATGATTGGTAATGGTAATTCTTCTCTTGTCTGGATTGATCCATGGATTTTTGATAATGGAATGAGAGTTCCGTTCATGCGAAATATCTTTGTGGATTTAAATCTTCGAGTTTCAGCCTTAATTGATTTTCAAAATAGAGCCTGGAACATGGAAAAACTGTAGGAGTTATTCTACCCCAGGGATGTGAATCTAATTCTGATCAATAAACCAGTGACTTCAAAAGATGATTTTTGGTGTTGGCTGCATAATAGAAGTGGTGAGTACTCAGTTAAATCAGGCTACTGGTTAGCCAATAGACTTCATAACTTTGATCTCATTGAAGCTGCTGAGATGCGTCCTTCATTAAACGACTTAAAAACTCAGGTCTGGTCATTACAGACTTCTCCAAAAATTAAATGTTTTATTTGGAGAGCCCTAAGTGGGGCTATTGCTGTCGGTGATAAGTTGGAAATCAGAGGAATGAGTAGTGATACATGATGTCAATTCTGTGGTTGGGAAACAGAATCTACTAATCATGTATTGTTCTCGTGTTCAATTGCGCGTCAAGTCTGGGCTATCTATGATTTTCCTTGTCCACCAGGTGGTTTTGAATCTCACTCGGAATTTGCCAATCTCCAATATTTACTTTCTCTGGCTCAGAATCAAGAAGTATCAGCATCTATAAGAAGGAGCTTCCCGTGGATTCTTTGGTATTTATGGAAAAACAGAAATGGTTTTCTCTTTGAAGGGAAGCAAATTGTGCTTACAGATCTAGTGTTGAAAATTAAAGAGGAAGCAAACCAATGGTTTAATGCTCATTCCATTGAAACAATATATGCTACTTCAAGAATCTTTGACAGAGGAAAGATTATAAAGACTTGGATGAAGCCTCCTGCACCATGGTTAAAATGCAACATAGGTATGGCTTGGTCAAGACAAAGTAGCATTGGTGGTTTCTCATGGGTGTTACGAGATGATAAAGGTAAAGTTTTGTTACACAGCAGACGATCATTCTCTAACATTCATTCTCTGATGGAAGCAAAATTTCAAAGTATTGTGTGGGCTATAGATAGCATGATTAGTCACAAAATCAACTTTGTGATTTTTGCCTCTGAAGCTATTGACATGGTCAACGCTGTCATCAAACCTAAAGAATGGCTCTCTATGCAATACTTTGCTACAGAAATCAACAAACGGATAGAGCCTATTCAGAACTGGCAAATTGAAAAAGCTGAATCTGTTTCAAACAAAGGGGCTTCTCTCATTGCTCTTAGTGTAATACAAGACAATCGTTTTCAATCTTATGTGGCAACAGGTTCTCCTAGTTGGCTTCAATCTCTGTTTGAGTCAGAAAGGATGGAAGAATTTGAGAATTAGCCTTACCTGGGAGCCTTCACTTTCAAGAAGAAGGAATCGTCTTAGCCTTCTTGCTCGGCCTCTCAACAACAGAGCTCAAAACTTACATACTGTTGTTGCATCACTACCAAGACTCTGGGGACTGGCTTCACGAATACATGGTAGAGTTCTAAGTGATACTTACATCCAGTTTTTATTTCAATCTGAAGCAGATTTAGTATCAGTTCAACGTCGTGCTCCATGGGTTTTTAACAATTGGTTCATCGCATCTCAACGCTGGGAAGACTTCTCCGATGTTTATTTCCTCACTACCCTTGATCTATGGGTTCAAATCCGCGGAATACCACTACCATATGTTTTTCAGAAGGAACAGCCAGGTTTATTGCTGCAACCATAGGACAGGTTATCTATCTAGATTTTCATGATGAGACCACTACTGATATAACTTTTATCAGAGTTAGAATTCGCATTGGCATCACTGATAGTTTGAGGTTCTTTAGAAGGGTCTGCTTTGAATCTAGAGAAAGGGCTATGATTAGCTTTCAATATGAGAGCCTGAGAAGGATTTGCAGTCGTTGTCTTCAACTCACTCATCAAAGCAGCCACTGTCCTTACAATCATTTTCCTCACACTCCAAGAAATAGTCCTGAAGTTATTGATGTACCAGTCTACAATAGGAGAAGGACTCATGGGCAGGAAATTCACTCCAATCATAACTCTCACTCTCAGAACTCGGATGACACTTTTCCAACTCCTTTGACTCCACCACCAAGGTTAGATTCTCCACCTTTAAACCCTGATGAATTTGCAGCAGCCTATCCTCAATTCCCAGTATCAAGCTTAGGAAATCTTCAACATATGGCAACTTCAACCACTCACACAGCCACTTGGAGAAGACATTCTTCCACTGGATCCACGACTTCACCAAGTATTGATGAAGGAATCAATTCCAGAATGCCTCGATACTTTGAGGTTGGTGAATCGTCAAAACGTACCAATTCCCACTTCAATAACAGAGATGATGATAGGCAACAAAAGAAAAAGCTACAGGAAGATGAGAAAGGAGGAATTCTGAAGCCTCCTAAGAAAAGATAAATTGCTCTACAAACTTCTGTCATCACTTTTTGGGTCCCTGTAACTGCCATTACAAGTTTAATTTAGTTGTTAGTTGAATAATGTTCTAGAACAGATTAAAACACTTTTTGGATTCTGTTTTAGACTACCTCAGTTTATGCTACATGTTTAACCTGTGTTAATGATTGTCAAGTTTGTTCTTGGTAATCATATCTGTAGTAACGACTGTTGCTCATGGTGGCTTTGTTCACCTTTGTACTGGCTTGGTTTGTACTGGCTTATATATAAAGATAACACTCTTGTGACAAAAAAAAAAAAAAGAATATGATTGGGGAAGATTTTAGGAGAAATTTTGGTAAAATTGGAGATGCTTTTACTTTATTTTAAAGTAAGATATAAAATATGATTGGAGAAGATTTTAGGGAAAATTATGGTAGAATTAGAGATGCTTATAGAGTGTGACTAGTGTGTATGATATAAGAAAAAAAAAATTCTACTAGACCCAAATTAAATAGAAGTAAATTTTCTTCTCCAAAATGTTAGAAGATATTTTTTTACTGAGAAAGATATATTTTATTTGATAACAAAAATATGAAGAAATGGATCCATAGAAAATAGAATTTTTTTGTTCTTCTATTATACATACCATTCACATCCTTAGTTTTAAACTTATGACATTATATTTTTTTTTAACAAAAAGTTCTTATAACATGTATCAAATAAGTATAGTTTTGTTCTTTTTTTTGAGAATATAGTCTATTATATTTCCTATGTATCAATATAATTGATGTTTTAGAAAAATATTTTGTATCAAATTAAATGATATACATTATTTTATACAAAAATTTAATAGTTTTTCTATGATTGTAAATATCATTTAAGGAAATAAAATGTTTAGGTTTTATAAGTTGCACAACCTATCTAATTCGTCTCAACTGGTTTTAACGTCACATCAGCATATATATTGTATATCATATGGTATTAGTCTATTAGATGAAGTGTAGTGTACATAGTTCACAACTTTGTCAAATTAAATTTGTAAGGAAATCCATTTGCTACAAAATCCAGATTAAAAAGCTTTCTAACTAACTTATATGGTGTTTATTAACAAACTTATAAGTTAAAATTTAAATGATCATTGTATAAAAAAATGTCCAACTCTAAAATAGAGTTACTTCAAATATAAAATAATCATATATTTTACTTTAATTTAAAGTAGGGAGACTCACAAAAATGCCCCTTTTTCAATACCCCTTTTCAAAAATGCCCCTTTTGGATGTCCATTTTTAAAAATACCCCTTTTATGTACAAAATGACTAAATTACCCTTCTTTTAATAAAAGATATTATAAATATATAAGGAAATATAACAAAATTAGGTCCACAAAATACAAAATATTTTTTTGGCGGGAAAAGTGATCCCCCAATTTTTCCCGCCAAAACACTTGTAAAAATTTGTAAAACCTTTAAAATACCTTGTAAAATTTTCCCGTAAAATTTTTTCCCGCCAAAAAATTTTCCCGCCAAAAAATTTTTTTTGCGGGAAAAGTAATTCCGCAATTTTTTTGCCGTTAAATTTTTGGCGGGAAAATTTTTCCCGCCAAAAATTTACAAGGTGTTTTAAAGGTTTTTTACAAGGTATTTATAAGGTTTTACAATGTATTTTAAAAGGTTTTACAACGTATTTACAAGGTATTTATAAGATATTATAAGATTTTACAAGCTTTTTTATAAGGTTTTTACAAGTTATAAGGTTTTACAAGTTTTTTATAAGGTTTTACAAGTTATAAATACCTTATAAAACCTTAAAAGTACCTTGTAAAACCTTTTAAAATACATTATAAAACCTTACAAAACACTTGTAAATACCTTGTAAAAAACCTTTAAAATACCTTGTAAATTTTTCCCGCCAAAAATTTTCCCGCCAAAAAAATTTCGCAAAAAAAATTGCGGAATCACTTTTCCCGCAAAAAATTTTTTTTGGCGGGAAAATTTTTTGGCGGGAAAATTTTTATGGGAAAATTTTACAAGGTTTTTTAAAGGTTTTTACAAGTGTTTTGGCGGGAAAATTGCGGGATCACTTTTCCCGCCAAAAAATATTTTATATTTTGTGGACCTAATTTTGTTTCAAATAAGGGTAAAATGGTCATTAAAAATTAAAAGAGGGCAAACTTAAAAATGGACTCTCAAAGGGGGCATTTTTGAAAAGGGGTATTGAAAAAGGGGTATTTTTAACAATTTCTCTTTAAAGTAAGATATATAACAGAATCGGAGAAGATTTTAGGGAGAAATTATGATATAAAACTAAACATTATCTTAGAGTGCGACTAGTGTGTATGGTAAGAGAATTTTTTTTTTTTCCTACTTGACTCACATTAAGTAGAAGTAAGTTTTCTTCTCCAAAATATTAGAAGACATTTTTTTATATTTTATTTGATAACAAAAAAATAAAGAAATCGACCCGGTAGAAAACAGAATAATTTTTTTTCTCTATTATACATATCAAGTACATCCTTAGTTTTAAACTTATGAAATGATATCTTTTAACAAAAAATGCATTTTTGTTCATTTTTTGGAATACAATCTATTATATATTTTCTATGTTTCAATATAATTGATGTTTTAGAGAAAAATTTTGTTCAAAAATTTTATATAAAAAAAAACTGTTTAAAATTAAATGATGTTAACATTATTTTATACAAAAATTTATTATCTTTTATTTAATGTAACTATTTGTATTTCTTAGAATAACTAACTGGTTATCTAATCGACTGTTAATACCACGTAATTGTTTAAAATTCTGTGATGGGATACCATATAAAGAACAAGTTATTCAAATAAGTGGCATGATTCTCACCAAAAAAAAAAAAAAAAAGTGGCATGATATCTCCATATACCTCCATTTATATATAAAAATTGACTCTAATTGACTAACATTGCCGGTAAAATCCAATATCATACAAAATAAAAACGAGATGTCATAAAAAGCCGAATGATATGTTATGGTGTGTCAAGTTACATCAACAGCAAACAGAAAGCAAATAAAACATTTTTATTTTGTCAACTTTTAAATAAGTTTTAGGGTATATTTTTCATCATATATTGCTAGAGATTTTTTTTAAATGTTCTCTTTTCGTATGTTTTTAAATAAATTGAGTCAAACATTTTTCTATCTACCAAATGTATAGTAGTACTCTGCGAAACATTCGATCCATATCTGCAGATTCAAGTTGTTTGCATTTTAAAATTGTGAAAAATTCTAATTTTTAAATACATTACAAGAAAGATGTCCATATCGATGTAAATATATAAAAAAAAATCCATGCATATAGTGAAAGAGAGAGAGAGAGAGATGTTTGATAGGGATTAGGGAACAATACCATACAGTGAGTCAGAAACAGATACATAAATCATTTTATAGTGTAACCAAGAATCTTAAATCACATTATTACAAGTTGGAATAAAAAGAAAAAAAAATATTAAAACTGAAAATAAGAAAGTACTCTCCTGCTACATCAGAACATGAGATTCTAGTGGAAAATTATAGGTCGCTTTACAAAAAGCAGACCCTTGGTATTCTTTTTTTACTTCCACAATTTTCGAAGTATAAATTTAATCTCTCTTTTAAATTTGTTTCGTAATTGATACAAGTTAAGTGTATACTTTCTTTTTTCTTCCCAAAATCAGTTAATCAACTAATGTCTAATGATACTAAACTGTAAATGATTCCATCTTATCGAATTGTATAAAACTACTTGAAATTCGGAGTTGATTAATGTACCTTAGAAGTTGACAAATTCTTTGACAAAAAAAAAAAAAAAAAAAAAAAAAAGAAGTTGACAAATTAGGAAAAAATAAAGGAATAAAAGAATATTAAAACAACGAATATGTATACCAATTGTCGATTCATATTGATGAGTGATCAGGTTCCAATGCAAAAAAAGAAAGAAAGGAGCGTAGAAATTACGCATCTTAATTTGTTTTGTGACTTTTCTCACTTAAGATATGAATGAATTCAAGATTGAATTGTTTGCTATACTACTTTTGTCCTTTTAGGTAAATGCTTGATCTTTTGCGATTCGATTATTATACGATTGCTAGTTTTCCAAGTTAACCACTTTGAAAAATATTTAGTATGTTGAAGTTAAAATCTTTGGGAATGTATGAACCCTTTGGTGAATGGTGAAGATATGTTTCAAACAAAATTTGGTTATGCAAACGAAGGTTTCTTGTATTATTAGTTTATAACAAATGGTTACATTAATTGTTGAGACCTAGCGTTTGTACTTTGTAGCTTCATGATGATGTGTTCTTCTATTGTAGTTGCCGTGTTACAATTAACAAATCCAGACTCGTGCATGAATGGGTAGTAAATGAAAAAAATGATTATTAAAAAAGTCCAATAGCTTAATTATTTTTAACGTAAACCAAACGTTTTAATGCATGCAACTCTAAATGCAAAACAAAAGAAACGTATAACTATGAGGTTTATTATATTATTTGGCACACAAAATGATGAGTTTACAGTTGTACCCCTCTTTGACTGTTGTCGTCACACTTCGCTTTTGTACGATTCTTTAAAGACTTCAGGAGAAAGCTGTAATGAGAGAGAAGAGAACGAATCAAAACAAACCTTAGTCTCAAACTGTTAACTTATTATACATTCATATAATTAAACTAATTAATCATTCGAATTTTTAATTCAAACATGCTTTGATTATAGTTTTATAAAAGCAACTGTTAAATACTTCCTCCGTTTCAAAATATAAGGCGTTTTGGAGAAACTCTTTTGTTTCAATATATAAGTCGTTTTCAAGTTTCTATGCAAATTATATATTACTTTAATATTTTATGATTATTTTTATTATGCAGTCTCTTTTATGATTGGCTGAACTTTTAAAAAGTAGATCTTCTTAATCGGCGTACTTTTAGCTAAAACGACTTATATTTTGAAACAGAGGGAGTATGATTTATATTATATTCTAATTTTGAGTAGTCTAGTCCCGTGAGGTGGACCCACATAATGGGTCATCAAGTTGTCAAATTATAATGGTTTTATATGAAAATTTTATGGCATTATAGTTAGTTTTGTAAATTAGACAAAACCACATGTTTACAGTGTATTAGTATGTTATGTTAATAAGAAAATTTACTGGAAGATTTTTAAGTATAGTTATTCTACATGTTTTTATAATAAACATATTTTATTTATAGTTATACGTTAAACTGTTTTAATAACTAACCATTAAACTAACTATGTAAGTGCTTTACAAACGAACACGTGAACTTCACGAAAACAAAAATCCAATTTTACATCGCGACAAAAAAAACTGATTTCACATATATATCTTGATTTATACACCGACATTTACAAACTCCAAAAATAAGATTCGTAGAATCTTGTAAATTTTAAACTATTTTTAACTCAATTAAGTTTAATTATTTATCACATTTTCCCTCTAAAAAAATTCATCTCATTAAAAAAATTGTACCATAAATTGTGCATGTAACTAAATGTAAGTGTTTTTTTCAAACAATAAATTATAGTTTAACTATATATAAGTGTTTTTTTTGTCAATCAAAAAATTATATTTTAACGTATAGAAACAAAAATAACGAATTTATAGCGTGAATTTTAAGTAATTCTGTTTTACATATTGTATCTTGATTGACACCGACACAAACTTTACATATAAAATTTAATGTAAATTTTAAGTGATTTAGAGATTATAATCCGTATTTCTTTTGTTAACTAGAAAAATCAAAAAATCATTTAAAAAATAAATGGAGTTTTTTTTGGGTTCACATTATAGTTATGAACTAAAACAAGCTAAACCCCAGTTTTTTTTTTTTTTGACTAGATGGAAATTCAATTAAATACAACATTATACTCTTAAAAAGTATTAATTACTTTTTGTCAGTTTTAAAACTAGTCCAAAAGTAAAAAAAAAAAAAAACTAGTACAGCTAATTTAATATGCTTAAGGAAGGATTTTGCAACTTTTTATTTTCTTCCCAGTTTCAGAGTTTATACAAATAAGGTAAAATTCGCAGAAACAGAAAATCAAAAATCAATTAAAATAATAAACCGAGGAAGTAAAAAAGATTTCCGAAAGGTAAAGTGTACTGCTGTAAAGTAGGTAAATAGAGGTACAGGTCAAGGGGTAGTTTCGGTATTTCATCTCTTTCTTCTTCATTTTTTTTTTTTTTTTGGTTTCTCACATTCCAAAGTCCCCATTGGACTTATTGAGAAGAGTTTTTTTCGTTTTCTCTGCTTTCTCACTTTTTCCCGTTTCCTTTGGGAATACAAACGGCGGCTTCTCAAAAGCCTCCGATTTCGATTTTTTTTTCTTTCTCTTTTTAGACTTTTTTTTTTTTTGTTCTTTCCTTTTTCTTCTTCTTCTTCTTCTCCGGCTTCTTCCGTCGGAACTAAAAATCAGAGGTTTTTGTTTGTGCACTGTTTCAATTGGATCATTCGAAAGTGAGATTCTCTGTTCTACAAAACAAGTAAGTAACTACATTGTTCTATCTCAATTCTCTTCTGGGTTTTCTTTACCTTTTTCGGTAATTTTCTTTCTCTTTGAAACAATTTGAGTTTTCTTTTTCTTGATTGATCACTCTGTCTTGTTCCTTTTCACGGTTCTTTTCTTTAATTTTGATCGATCGTTGTCTCTGAAATCCGATTTTGTTTCTATGAACTTTCTTTACTTTGGATGATTGTGAAAATTTTAGTTCTTTGGTTTGTGCATGTTCTTATGAGAAATCGATTTTGAGATCGTCTTAAGGCGGTTAATGTTTTTTGTAGTAATGATTTTTGTGAGTTCTTTAGAAGTAAAATTTGGAAAAGGGTTTTTGTCCTTTTTTGTTGTTGTTGACAGTGTTTTTTTTTTTTCAATCCATGAATAATGTGTGTTCAAAGTTTGAGCCTTTTTTATGTGTGTGTGTTCTCTGCAATTTTTTTTCTTCTTCTTCTTCTCTGGTTTGAGTTAGAATCTTCTTTGTCTGAACATGTTTTCTCTTTTTTTTGGGTTCATGCTAGATTCTATCAGTAATTCAATTTCGAATCTCCTCTTCTTTTTGATTGGCCAGTCACAAAGAAAGATTGTGGTAACACTTTTGTCCCTTAACAAAAGTTGTCTGTTTCTCTTTGGTCAATTTTTTGATCAGAGAGAGTTGTTTTGGTTTTTGGTCTGGTCAGTGCAATGCTAAAGATTGGTTTTTGTTTCATATTCTGCACATTTAGATTGATGACTAGAGGGTACAGATAAAAACTGACGATTTATCAGTGGGTTTTAGCTCTGTTTTATGAGTTTAAGATCTTAAAGTACGAATATTTCAATAATGCTTGTTCAAAAGTTTGAACATTTTTTTTTTGTGTTTCTGAAATAGTTTGATTTTCTGGGGTTGTGGTAGATTCTCCTTGTATTCATTCAGTGAATCTGATAAGATGTTTAAGTTACAAAAGTAAGTGTAAATATTTTCAATAATGTGTGTTCAAAGTTTGAACCATTTTGTTGTTCTGCATCGCCGTCGAAGTTTGTGCTTACAAGTTTGTCTAAAACCAAAAAAGTTGTCTTGTTTCTCAGTGGTCACTATTGATCAAAGAGAGTTGTTTTGGTTTTGTCTGTCTGGTTGATGAAATGCTAAAGATTGGTTTTGTTTCACATTCTGCACATTTGATTTGATCACTATAAGTTGCTTACAAAAACTGATGTTTTCACTTTTGTGTCTACATTGGCCTTACTGGTGATTTCACTTCTTGTAGGAATCTCTTCGACATGGAAGACGATTGCGAGGAGCTTCAGGTTCCCGTGGGAACTCTAACTTCGATAGGTTTTAGCATTTCAAATAACACTGATCGAGTAAGTGTTGTCCTTAACTAATCTTCCTGATTTGTTTGTGAGTAGATTGAGCAAATGTTTAATGTAATGTTACTTTGTTATAGGATACAATGTCTGTCATAAAGGTTGAAGCACCGAATCAGGTGACTGATTCTCGGCTAGGGCTACCGAATCCGGATTCTATCTGCAAAACCTGTGGCAGCAAAGATCGAAAAGTTTGCGAAGGTATCATCAAGAATCTGGTTTTGGCGATATTGTTTCATCTTTTAGCTCATTTATGATTAGTTCCCTGAGTTTCCTTTCTGTTTAGGGCATTTCGGGGTTATAAACTTCCAGTACTCGATAATAAACCCGTATTTCCTCAAGGAGATAGCTGCGTTGTTAAACAAAATCTGTCCGGGTTGTAAATACATTCGAAAAAAGCAGTTTCAGGTTCACGAGTCTTTCCAAATCCTTTAATGTGTGTCAATTGTTGGTTTTGTGTTCTTGGAACTACATATACTAATGTCGCCTTTGCTTGACACAGATTACCGAAGACCAGCCTGAGAGATGTAGATATTGCACTGTAAGAGTTTGATTGCAACTAATTTTTTTCATTTAAAGCTTTGTTCCTACACTAATTTTCGGTTTTTGTTGTTATATATCAGTCGAATACCGGTTATCCTCTAATGAAGTTTAGAGTAACTACTAAAGAAGTCTTCAGGCGATCCGGGATCGTTGTTGAAGTAAACGAAGAGAGTCTGATGAAACTCAAGAAACGGGGAGTGTTAGCATTGCCTCCTGACTATTGGAGTTTTGTGCCACAAGACTCCAATATCGACGAGAGCTGTTTGAAACCAACAAGGCGAATACTAACGCATGCACAGGTATAGAAGAGTGAAATGTAACATCTCCATGATTTCTTACTATATAGTTTTCTGAAATTTTAACCTTTTTTCAGGTTTATGCTCTGTTATCTGGGATTGATCAGAGACTCATCAAGAAGGATATCCCCATGTTCGACTCTCTTGCTCTGACATCTTTTCCTGTTACACCAAACGGTTACCGTGTAACCGAAATAGTTCATCAGTTCAACGGAGCTCGACTAGTATTTGTAAGTTAAAACGCTTGTTTATATAATTTGTATCATATTCTATGTTATTTCTCTTATCTTTTTCGGTTTTTTTGCTCATTTTTTGAAGGATGAACGGACTCGGATATACAGGAAACTAGTCGGCTTTGAGGGTAACACGCTTGAATTGAGTTCTCGCGTGATTGAATGCATGCAATATTCCAGAGTAAGCAGTAGTTTCTGATAGATTAAACGTTTCTTTCTGTTCATCTGTGAAGGTTAGTAATTCTTGTTTTCCGCACAGCTCTTTTCGGAAAATGTGTCTTCGAGTCAAGATTCCGCAAATCCATACCAAAAGAAGTCTGATACACCAAAACTGTGCGGTCTAAGGTTCATGAAGGACGTGCTGCTCGGTAAAAGAAGCGATCATACATTCCGGACAGTAGTTGTTGGTGATCCGTCCTTGAAGCTTCATGAGATTGGCATACCCGAGCGTATCGCAAAAAGGCTTCAAGTATCAGAGCATCTCAACAACTGGAACAACGAACGGCTAGTCACTTTCTGTTCCCCCAACCTGTTTGATAATAAAGAGGTGCATGTGAGAAGAGGAGATAGATTGGTGGCTATTCGAGTCAGTGACCTCCAAACCGGAGACAAAATATTCCGGAATTTAATGGATGGAGACACAGTGCTGATGAACAGACCGCCTTCGATTCATCAGCATTCGCTTATTGCAATGACAGTTAGAGTCCTCCCAACGACTTCTGTTGTCTCCTTGAATCCGATCTGCTGTTTGCCGTTTCGTGGTGATTTTGATGGAGATTGTCTTCACGGTTACGTTCCTCAGTCCATTCAAGCAAAGGTCGAGCTTGATGAGCTTGTTGCTTTGGATAAGCAGCTTATCAACCGACAGAATGGTCGGAACTTGCTTTCCTTAGGACAAGATAGCTTGACGGCGGCTTATCTGGTCAATGTCGAGAAGAACTGTTATCTGAATCGAGCTCAGATGCAGCAGCTTCAAATGTACTGCCCATTTCAGCTTCCTCCGCCTGCGATTATCAAAGCTTCTCCTTCGAGCACTGAGCCTCAATGGACGGGAATGCAGCTATTCGGGATGCTGTTTCCTCCCGGGTTTGACTACACTTACCCTCTGAATGATGTGGTTGTGAGTAACGGAGAACTTTTGTCTTTCTCTGAAGGATCTGCTTGGCTCCGAGATGGAGAAGGTAATTTCATCCAGGGATTGATCAAACACGACAAAAGGAAAGTTCTTGATATCATCTATTCCGCTCAAGAAATGCTATCTCAGTGGTTGCTGATGCGCGGATTGAGTGTTTCCTTGGCGGATTTGTACCTTTCCTCTGATCCGCAGTCTCGTAAAAACTTGACTGAAGAGATATCATACGGATTACGGGAAGCTGAGCAAGTCTGCAACAAGCAACAGCTAATGGTTGAATCTTGGAGAGATTTCCTTGCAGTTAATGGGGAGGATGAGGGAGAGGATTCAGTTGCGAGGGATTTGGCCCGGTTCTGCTATGAGAGGCAAAAATCCGCTACATTAAGTAAAATTGCAGTTAGTGCTTTTAAGGATGCTTACAGAGATGTTCAGGCACTAGCATATAGGTATGGCGAGCAATCCAACTCTTTTTTGATCATGTCAAAAGCCGGTAGTAAAGGGAATATCGGGAAGCTGGTTCAACACAGCATGTGTATCGGTCTGCAGAATTCGGCAGTTTCTTTGTCCTATGGGTTTCCGCGTGAGCTGACTTGCGCTTCTTGGAATGACCCGAACAGTCCACTTCGTGGCGCAAAGGGAGAAGACAGTACTGCTACTGAGTCATATGTTCCTTATGGAGTCATTGAGAACTCGTTTCTAACGGGTCTGAATCCGTTGGAATCTTTTGTTCATTCAGTTACAAGTCGTGACAGCTCATTCAGTGGTAATGCTGATCTCCCCGGGACACTGAGCAGAAGATTAATGTTCTTCATGCGGGACATATACGCTGCTTATGATGGCACAGTGAGAAATTCTTTCGGAAACCAGTTAGTCCAGTTTACTTATGAGACTGATGGTCCCGTTGAAGATATCACCGGTGAAGCACTTGGCTCACTTTCTGCTTGTGCATTATCTGAGGCAGCTTACAGCGCGCTAGACCAGCCAATAAGCCTTCTGGAAACTTCTCCGCTTCTGAATCTTAAGGTTTTCCTCTTCTTCTTCTTCTCTTCTTGATTTATTTAACATTTCCACTTTATCTTTCTGCATTTCTCTAACTAGATTTTATCTCTTTCCACAGAATGTTTTGGAGTGTGGATCGAAGAAAGGTCAAAGAGAACAGACTATGACTTTGTATTTGTCTGAAACCCTTTCAAAGAAAAAGCACGGGTTCGAATACGGGTCACTGGAGATCAAGAACCACTTGGAGAAACTGAGTTTCTCAGAGATCGTTTCAACATCTATGATAATGTTGGTAACTTTAACAGTCTTTATGAATCTTTTTGGTTAAGGGCTTCTCTTAACAAATGTTTATTGTCTTCTTGGTTTATAGATTCTCTCCAAGTACTAACACGAAAGTACCGTTAAGCCCGTGGGTTTGCCATTTTCATATCTCTGAGGTACAAACTCATACACATATAGAGCCATATACATCTATATATGAACAGATTCTAATGAACCTCTTCTTTAATTTCACAGAAAGTACTGAAGCGGAAACAACTCAACGTAGAATCCGTGGTTTCTTCATTAAACGAGCAGTACAAGAGCAGGAACAGAGAACTGAAGCTTGATATAGTTGATTTAGATATACAAAGCACGTAAGAACATCCTTGACTTTGTAACAGACATGTTTTATTTCGCTTTTATGTCTTTATTAGAAACTGATTTGTTATACATTTATGTGTTGTGGATTAGAAACCACTGCTCTTCAGACGATAAGGCAATGAAGGATGATAGCTTTTGCATCACGGTGACTGTAATCGAAGCATCAAAGCACTCGGTTTTGGAACTGGATGCTATTCGTCTCGTTTTGATCCCTTTTCTTCTTGACTCTCCTGTCAAAGGTAAAGCGGGATGAATAAAAAGACGAGTGAGCTGAACAGATCATTGTTTTGTTATTATCGTTCTTATTAGTTCTATCATCTTTTTGCAGGTTCTCAAGAGATTAAAAAGGTGGATATCTTATGGACAGACCGACCAAAAGCGCCAAAAAGGAACGGGGACCATTTGGCGGGTGAGCTGTACTTAAGGGTTACAATGTATGGAGATCGAGGAAAAAGAAACTGTTGGACCGCTCTTTTAGAAACCTGTCTTCCCATTATGGATATGATTGACTGGAGCCGAAGCCATCCTGATAATATCCGACAATGCTGCTCGGTTTATGGAATAGACGCTGGACGGAGCATTTTCGTAGCAGTCAGTATCAGTTTCTTTAACAATTTCTTCATTTTCCTGGTCTTGCAGCTTCTAAAGTTATGATTTTTTCTTGTGACCGCAGAATTTGGAGTCCGCGGTGTCGGATACCGGTAAGACGATACTAAAAGAGCATCTGCTTCTCGTAGCTGACAGTCTCTCTGTTACCGGAGAATTTGTGGCATTAAACGCTAAAGGTTGGAGTAAACAAAGACAGGTCGAGTCCACGCCTGCACCTTTTACTCAAGCATGCTTTTCGGTATGTAACTAAATCCCAAGTTAACGTCCCATTTCTTTTGGTTATACCAAGTTTATATAGGATTTGATTTGATACTTAGTGCTTGCTTAATCTCTACAGAGCCCAAGTCAATGCTTTCTCAAAGCTGCTAAGGAAGGTGTTAGAGACGATCTTCAAGGGTCTATCGACGCGCTAGCTTGGGGAAAAGTTCCTGGTTTTGGAACTGGAGATCAATTCGAAATCATTATTTCTCCTAAGGTAAATTAACTTTACATTGATCCGTTTCGACCACAACTTCAGTGGTCTAATTAGTGTCTTTATGCCTGCATCAGGTTCACGGGTTTACTACACCGGTAAATGTGTATGACCTTCTGAGTAGTACACCTCCAAAGACAAACTCTGCGCCTAAATCAGACAAAGTCACGGTCCAGCCATTCGACTTGCTAGGTACCGCATTCCTGAAAGGTATCAAGGTACTAGATGGGAAAGGGATTTCTATGTCACGGCTTAGAACGATCTTTACATGGGAAAACATCGAGAAGCTTTCCCAGTCACTGAAACGCATACTCACCAGGTAAGGCGAAAAAACAAATTTTCTCCGATTTTTCTGTTCAAAGAACCGTAAAGATTCTTCCTTTTGGCTGATGCAAATTCAACCGCGTTACCTTTGTTAGTTACGAGATCAATGATCCATTGAATGGGAGGGACGAAGAACTTGTGATGATGGTTCTGCACTTGCACCCCAACAGTGCTGATAAAATTGGACCAGGCCTTAAAGGAATCCGGGTAAATCATATTAAAAAAAACTCATATGTTTCAGAATCTTTAAAAACATAAAGATCCTGACCCGGTTTCTTTTACAGGTCGCTAAATCGAAGCACGGAGATTCCCGTTGCTTTGAGGTTGTAAGAATAGACGGGACATTCGAAGACTTTTCGTACCACAAGTGTGTCTTGGGAGCAACAAAGATCATTGCCCCAAAGAAAGTGAACTTATACAAGTCAAAGTATCTTAAAAATGGTACACACCAGCCCGGTAGGCTCTCCGAAAACCCGCAAACAGTCAAGTAAAAGGAAGAAAAGGACTGTCTTTCCTGCGATATAATATCGAACAATGTAGGAAGTTGTGTGTATTTCTGTTCAAAAAAGTGATTAGATAGATATAGGGGAAAAGCCTTTTGGCTTTGCTCTAAGCTTCTTTTTGCTCCTTTCACTATGTAATACCTTTTGCCTTCAACCTAAAGGCTTAAAGGTTAATTACTTAGTGGAAGCAGCAACGAGAAGCTGGCAAAGGAGGCTTCTGTTCTGTTTCTGTTTCTGTTTGTAGACTATGAAATATCCGGTTTGACTATGATATATCCGGTTATGTTTCTGTTCTATCTTTACCCGGTTTAGATCTGTCTTCATAGTTCATGCAATTGCTAATGATCCTTATTACATCTTCCGGTTTTCCTCATGAGAAGTGAAACTTCTGGTTATGCTCTGTCTTTCCTGGTTTAGTGTTCTCTATTCTCATACAATTTGATCTTTCTTTACCCGGTTTAGATTGGTTTTCATGCAATTCGCTTTTGATTCATAGAAGTTATAACATCTTTCGTTTTCCTTACGAGTTTAGTGAAAACTTCTTTTTCTTATCAAAGCTAATTTCTTTGGTTATGCTCTGTTTTTTTCCTGGTTAAAATTAATTCTTATACAATTCTTTAATGATCTCTCCGATTATGCTACGATCTATCCCGGTTTAGATCGGTTATGGTCCCTAAAGAATATTTGTTTTCTCATGATTGAATCATCAACCTTAAGAAACAGATGTTTTTCTGTGGATTATAGAAATGATTTCATCAAACAACTACACCTTTTATGTTTCTCCATCACTTTTATGACTACAAATTATATAATTAAGTCTTTTCATCAAATTTTATCATCACTAAACAATGATATCCATATTTCTATGGTTTACCGAGTTGAATAGGAAGAGATCACCAAAAAAAAAATAACTTCTCTATCAAATGTGCAAAATTTTCGTTCTCGTGCAAATTTTTAATGTCTTAATGATCGTATAGTGGGACATGAATAATTTCTATTGATAGATTAAATTTCTTCAAGATATCAAATTGATGCAGCGTGATATTTGGATAATTCCAAATATCTTCTATGATTATCTTCTATTTATTTATTATTTATATTTTAATTAGTTTAGATAATTATTAGATTATTTTAGCGTTTATCTAGGGTTTTGGGTTTTATTATAAATAGCCACTTAGACCATACACAATGGTATAATCTTTGGTTGGGTGTGAGTAATATAAAAAGGAGAAAAAATAGAAAAGTTGTGTAGAAGTTGTATGTTGGGTGTAAGTTTACACTTGGGTGTGAGTATTAAAATAAAGAGAAATATTGCACTCTCTCTATCTCTCTCTATCTCTCTCTATCTCTCTCTATCTCTCTCTCTCTCTATTTTCTCTCTCTCTTTAATTATAATAATAAAAAATTATTCACAACCACACTTACACATGTGTCATTGTGTATGCTCTTAGGCTTATTGTATTATGCAGTTGTTATTGAATTTATTAATCGAAAGATTTAAAAAGGTTTTTATAAACCACTGTGAAGAGTATTCACAACTCTAAGAGCTTTTGTGAAAGCCCTGAGAGGAGGACTCTCAAATCCTAGTTTCCGGGTATTCTCAGAATCAACGGATCTAGTTCTATCCTTAGAAGCTTCCGCTTCATCACAAATCCGGTTTAATATCTAAACAGAAACCAAATACTTCCGTCGATGGTTTTCGTTCCAGCGGGCTGCCGTGAAGTCGTGGCTCTTGTATTCGCATATGCTACTGCGTCGAATTCTCTGCCTCCGGTCATCGCCTGGATCCGATCTATTATTCCGGTTAACCAGCGCCATTCTCCGTTTTGCCTGTTTTGTATCTGATAGGCGTTTTGTAAAAAGTCAAAACCAAAACCAAATGATAAATTGATAAGAGTAAAGAACACAAAAATGTTTAGAAATAATTATAAGAATTATATTAGACTCTCATAAAAATAATATTACAATTTACATCTACATATAGATAGTGAATGACTAAACTTAATTTTCTAAATTAAAATAAACTTAAATATAAATAATACTTTAGAGATATTAGTAAATATCCTAAACTAAAATATTAACAAATATCATGATCTTCTAAATCCTTTTTGATATTCATGATTTTTTTATTGTTGAACTTTCCGTACCAAGCCCATTTGAGTAACCCACTTCTTTTATCTATCGATTATGCTCTGATCTTTGTTGGTTATGATCCATTGATCCCAATAACTTGTTTTCGTTTTTTAGAGACATTTGGTCCCAAGTAGTATCAGCATTTATGGTTAAAACGCCAAAAAATTTACTCAAAAATGAAAATAAAATAAAAGAAACAGAAAAATATATAAAAATATATGAAAATAAAAGAAGCAGACCACAATTATAAGCAAAAAAACAAAAAACATTAACTTTTGAAACCACAATTTACTCTTTTTCTTTGTGTTGGTGTTTTTCTCCTTGTCGCAAACCACAATTTTATAAAAAGGTCATACTTTTTCTTTTCTTTTCTTAACAAAACATGTGGTTGTTAATTTTATACCTCGATTATTTTTCCTTTTTGATGAATGCATTAAATCATTGTCCTGAAGGATATGGAAGTTTTGTTTCGAGGTAATAAATAATATATTGTTCTCAATCACCATAAACCAATCCAATAGAACATTGTTTACATAAACTAGGTTTTGGATCCACGCTACGCATGGGTTTATTTGTTATATTTTGGTGAAAATTATATATGATTGATGATAATTTTTAAATTACTATTAAAGCAAAATTTTCAGTTCAAATGCGCAATTATAAAAATCAATAGTGTTTAAGAATAAAATTTTATCAAAAGAATCATAAATCATCTTATTTTCTCATATTCAATTGGCCGCCAACACCTATGTCTTCGTTTTCTCTTCACATTCATCGTTTTTTACTCTTCATACTCATTCTCGTCATCTACATTGTCAATTTTTCATGGCCGTCGTCACCGTTACTTTCCGCTTCTTCGTTATACTCTTCCTCTTCCTCTTCCTCATTTTCTTCCTCATCCTCTCTATCTTCTTCTATGTAAAACATTTATTATTTTGTGGTCAAAATAAAGCAAGAAATTTAAACTTACTAACATTAACCAAACATAGCTCCATAAGCCTATGAATTAACTATCCGAAACAACGTCGTTCATTTGACCTTCTGAACTCGAAATTTGATGCCTATCTACCAAAAGTTCGTTCCACGTCTCCAGAATACTCTTACCAAATTTCAGATTATTCCGAGTACGTTTGGATATTCATGTCTCCACTTTACTTGTTAGATCTGAAACTTTAGAAGAAAACTTCTCGAACAAGTTGAAGAAGCTTTCTTCTAAAAATCCGTTTAAATCTATATCCTACCATTAAACCTCAAGACAGTAATACCAGAAACCTCACCATCAAATTTTAGCTACATATGAACCAAACGTTACAATAAAAATGTCATGTTATAACTGTTTTCTCACTTTTCTTTTCCATGAATGATAATCCAAGTTTATCTTATGGTATCACAATTGAACATCTTCTCACGACAATGGTTTTCTCTCTAGCTATCTCTCTCTCTCTCGCTGGTCGCCAATCTATTCGCGTTTCTCTCTTTCTCCTTTATTTTTTACATGGAAAACAACCCTCTTTGCTACCTAGATTATGACGTCAATTATTTATAACGCAAGAAAACTCTTATCAATTAAATGTATTACCTTTCTTACGTCTCTTCAATTCCCTTTTTTGATTGAAATTGGTACTCCAATAATAACAACTTTTTCTACAATTTCAACACAAGTCTTTATACCTTTTTGCCTGGTTAGATATCATCCAACTGAAGTATATAAAACCTAAGTTAAAAAAAAAAACAGAATCACATAAGAAGTTACCTTATTAGCCATAGTTGTATCCACATTTTAACGTAAAACAATTTTTCCTATATTGGCCTAGACATCTTTTCCAAGAGAGATTTCTTGCATGGTCTTACATGTATGTTCCTCAACTTCCACCACCACCACCACTTCCTTAGATTTATTAGCATGTGGCACTTTTTGGGCACAAGCAATTGATGCTGAATTCGTTAGAACCACTAAATAAGCTTTCAAAAGAATTTGTCTTAGAGTAACACAACTTGTTTCCCAGCGAACCTCCTGTAACCTCCAAGACCAGAATAATTGCCTATTTTCTCATAACATTTGTGTTATTCAAGACCAGCATAGCCACCACATGTACTAAATTATTGATACTTTCACACATATATATACTAGATTTAAGATCCACACGTTTTGAAACTTTTCAAACCAAAATCCTTAATGCTACAAAATTGTAAATTACTTGCGGAGGAAGCAACATGAACATGATCCCATATATAACTAATAAAACATATATATGTGCTTGTTGTTGATCCTTCTTCTGTAAAAGCAAAAAATTAACTCAAATAATCAAATCAAGGTCTTACGATTCAGAACCGATATGAAAGAGTACAAACATCGACCAATGATGCTTGTCATCGATCCTTCTTGTTCTTGAAACCCAAAACTTTTACGCAAACAACATCAAATCATATATAACATCATACACAAACACATGTTTTAGGGTTTATCGGAAATATAAAACAGAAACAGCCCGACAAAGAGAGAGAAGTGCCAGTAGTGGCAAAAGCGAAGAAAAATATAAAAAGAAGCGCCATTAAAAGTAGTAATCAACCTTAATTGTTACTAAAAGCTTGAAATTTATAGCTTAAAAATTATAATCAAATCAGATGCCTCCGGTTATTATTTATATTGAAAAGATCTAGAGTTAATCGAATATGTTTTTTTTTTGTTAATATTCTATTTTTTGTTGGAAAATTAGAAGATTAACAAAATAAGAATATAAGTTTAACGTATTTCATATATTGTTTTTCAAAAATTTACGTTTGTTTTCTTGTATATATTGCTTTTCTTATTTCCATATGTTGTTTTTCAAAAGTTTACATTTCTATTCTTTACATATATTTCTTTACAAATTTAATTATCTTTAAAAATTTAAACTTGACATTTTGATTATAATTAGAAATATTTCTATAAAAATTTAAACTTGACATTTTGATTATAACTAGAAATATTTATATATTTTCAAATAACACAAGATTAATATAATTAGAAATATTTCTATATTTTCAAATATTTCTCGATATGTGCTTGTTGTTGATCCTTCTTCTGTAAAAGCAAAAAATTAACTCAAATAATCAAATCAAGGTCTTACGATTCATAACCGATATGAAAGAGTACAAACATCGACCAATGATGCTTGTCATC